AACGTTGATAGACTAACGAGTGCTTTAGTGATCTAGACATTAGAAGGCAGTAAATAAACGAAGATCTTTATCGGATTGACTACAACTCGAGAGAGTAAACGATAAGCTGAATTGTTAGCTGATAAAACTGATAATCTGCAAATAAATTTAAAAAATATTACCACTGTAAAGACTTAAGCTTCAACTTCAAAAATTGTGCAAACAAATTCACCTTTTATCGTTTACGTTATTCTTCATTTTTCTATTCTTTCAATTTATAAATCCTAATACAGGTGCAGTGCAGTGAATAAAGAAAAAATTTTTGAGGAGGTAACTTTTGCTACAGATAATATTTCGTTTTACAAAATGCTGACTTACTTTATTTTTCTAAGAACCAAATATTGTGTTGCTAAGCATAATTCATAAAATTTTTTAAAAAAAACTTTTTTTGCCAGTAGAAACTGAAAAAGAATTTGTAGTTTACCTTTTAATTTTCCTGTCGTACACTATCGGTTAAGCAATTAAAGATTCAAAATAACTGTGACAATGACTATAGTTATAAATTTAGCTGTGGCTATGATTACAGATATGGTTGCAATTACTGTTTTTAAAAATTTTTTTTGTTTTTGATAACTATTTAATATATCACTGTCAATCCTAAAAAAACAATTAAAGTATAACTGAATGTTCCAGTTTTAGCAACATTCAGAATGTATTTGATCAAAAGAGAAATATGATTATTGCTAGGCTTTTTTATCTGTTCACAAAAGCAGTGAAAACTTTTCACACATAATTTCTTATTATTCTTTTTTTTTCCAAAAACTTAGCTGTCTTCCGTACTTTAGTACAATCTAACACAATGATGACTAAGCATTTTACGTATAGTTTTAGGAATTTAATGACTAAAGTGTTTCTATTGCCGATAACTAGTTGTGCTTTTAGAAAATTTTTAATAAAATGTTGAAAAACTGTTTTGTTTGACGTGAAATCGTCTTGCTTCTTTAGTTTTTGAATGTATTCCATAAATTCGTACAAATGTACATCTCTGCTTTTTTTTTTTTTTTTTGCTAAAAATTTTGGATCATATCAGAGGCTACAATAAACTAAATAGCTGCTCTAGTAATTGCTTCAGTAGATGAAATAAAGTTGATGGGTGGAGCTCTGAAAGTTTGTTGTTTTGACACAGAGAAAAATAAACAGAAATAAACAGTCGTATTAAGCCGTTAGCTGATAAGAGGACTGTTCGCTTACAAGGAAATTTTCCAAGTGTCATCAACTAGATGAACTTTAATCTTAGTTCTAGGATTCACACACACACACATAAACACACATAAAAAAACCTGTTTTTCCATTGACGCTTAAGTTATTTTC